TCATCACATTCTCTTAATATGTTCTTTCCAGTGCTGTAAGAATTTTTTTCTGTGGAAAATTGTCTGATCCAAGCCAGCTTTCATCATTGGAGTATGTGTTGGAAACTTCTGGCATGTGCAAATCATTCTTATTCTTTTTCTTCTATATTCATGCTATTTCATTGTACCTCATTTGCTATATGGTAGAGATTTTCTTCATACCATGTTTGGAAAATAGGCCCTTAATTTTAAATCCTACCTTTAGGATTTCAACCAACAAATTTTAAAGTCTTCATCTATATACAGCTAAATTTTTCTGGTGATGGTGGGGATTGGACTCAGGACCTTTTGAATGCTTAAACACAAGCTACATTCCTAACCTGTAATCAGAGAATTTCACCAAGTAGTTTCTTATTTTATTTCCTTTTGTATTTTTCTCATCTCATTTTCATCTCCAGTTTTTGTTACAGTGCTCTGTGATACATTTTTCTAATTTATTTTGTCACACTTTGTAACTTTTTAGCCTTTTTGGGAACTATTTGGGAAGATACCTCGGGATACCTGAGTCAAATGGAATTTCTATTTTTAGTTTTTCAATTTCCATAGTCATTGTACTAGTTTACATTCACATCTACAACATCTTCACCAGCATGTTATTACTAGATTTTTTGTATATGTACTGCTGAAGGAAGCACGTATTACTAGATTTTTAGATGAAAGCCATCCTTTTTGTGGTAAGATGGTATCTTAGTGTAGTAGTTTTAATTTGCATTTCTGTCATAGCCAGCAATGATAAACATTTTTTCACATATTTATTGGCCATTTGGACTTCTGAGAAGTAGCTCTTCATTTCAGTTCACCATTTTTTGAATGGATCTTTTATTTTGAGGGGATCTAATTTTTTTGAGTTCGTTATATATTCTGGATGTTAATCCTCTGCTGTGGCATAGCTGGCAAATCTTTTTTGCCATTCTTTAGATTATCTCTTTGCTCTGTTGGTTGCTTCTTTTGCTGTGTAGAAGCTTTTTAATTTGGTGTAATCTCATTTGTTGATTCTCAGTATTGTTTCATTGGATTTCAGTTTAGAAATTTCTTGCCTATGTCTTCAAGCATTGTACCTATTTTATTTTCCATCAGATTGTTTGTTTTAACATTAGATATTTGATCCGTTTTTATTTTAGTTTAGAACAGAGTGAAAAATATGGGTCTAAATTCAGTCTTCTGCATGTGTATAGGCAGTTTTCCCACCACCATTTATTGAAGCGGCTATCTTTCCTCCGGTGTTCAGTATGATTTTGGTGGCTTTGTCAAAGTTCAGATAACTCTGTGTCCAGGCTTTTTTCTGCTTCTCTGATCTGTTCATTGATCCACATTCCTGTTTTTGTGCCAGTACCATGCTGTTTTAGTCACTGTTTTTTGTTTTTGTTTTTGTTTTTTGGTACCAGGGATTGAACTCCAGCCCCTATGCAAGTGCTGGAACCACTAAGCTAAATCCCCGGCTGTCACTGTAGTTTTATAGTATAACGTCAAGTCTGGGATTGTGATGCTCTTACCAGGTAGCCTGCTCCTGCTCATCAACTAAACTGAGTTCTGGATAGCTCACCTCTCCCTCTGGAGTTAGATTCTAGGTTCTTGTCATGAACAAAAAATTGAACAAAATGAGCAAAAAGCAGTGGCCAAGTTTATTAGAGAAAGTAGAAATGAAGAATGGGGGAGAAACTGGCTCTGCAGAGTGAGATTAGACCAAGTAAGAGATTAAAAAAGCAAGACAGAAGAACATCCTGGAGAAAGCAGGGTGGGCTGTCTTGAGGAAAAGTCACCATAGCAAGATCTTCATGACTCACCTCTCTTTTTATGTTGTCTAATACAGAATGGGTCCTGAGAGTCAGTGCTAGGATCCCTTACCTAAGGCTGATACCAAGTCTAGGCCATTCTGTTGAAAACCTGCTCAAGTTCTTACCAGAACTCCACATGCAGGGCTTAGGGAACTGTTCTGTGGATGTGTCAGGGATCTTGTAATTTAAAAGGTCAGGCCTACTTCCCCAGCCAGCTTTGCCATGCCCTACTCTCTCTCCTTTCTCAGTGCCACATGCTTTGCTTTTGTTGCCCAAGATTGCTGGGTAATCTAACATCTTGGCTAATGTATGTTGTACTGGCATTATCATTTAATTCTAGGAACTCTCTTGTTTATTTTTCTTTCTTTCTTTTGGAGCTATCTCAGTTTTCTCTGTGACCCATTGATTACTCTAGTGTATTGTTTAATTTCCATATGTTTATGTGGCTTCTGTGGTTCTTTTGCTGTTGATTTCTAGTTTCATTGTGTGTTTCAATATGTGTGGTAGGGCCGGGGATTTAGCTCAGCAGTTCTGCCTCCTGCCTTGCAAGTGAAAGGACCCGAGTTCGATCCCTGGTACCAAAAAAAAAAAAAAAAATGTGTGGTAAAATTACAATTCATTTACTTAAGCATGTTTTAAAAGGTAGAATGTCATCTATTTTGGAGAAATTATCATGTGCAGCTGAAAAGAATATGTTCTCTGTTCACTGGAACACTCTGTATATATCTATTAAGTGCATTTGTTCCAATGTTTGGTTCAACTCATATATATCTTTGCAGATTTTTTTTTTTAGTTGATCTATTTGTGATACTGAGATCCCCTGTTATAATTGTATCAGATCTTTTATTAGAATTTGTGTTACAAAGTTGAATGCACCGTAGTTTGGTGCATATGTGGTTATAATTGTTATTTCTTCCTGTTAAATAACCATTAACCAGTTTTCTTTAAGAGTTCGGAGCAGGCGTGATGTCACACCCCTATAATCCCAGCACTTGAGAGGCTGAGGCAGGAGGATAGCTCAGAGTTTGAGACCAGCCTGGGCTACATAGTGAGTTCCAGGTCAGTCTCAACTACATAGTCTCAAACCTCCCCCCAAAAAAAGGAGCTTGGAACATTTCATTCTTTCCTTTAAGGTTTGTGTTGAGAAATCTGTTATAATTTCCTTTATCGATGATTCCTTGTTTTCCTCTGGCATCTGTTAAAGTTTTGTATTTCTGGTATTAATAATTATGTGGCATGAATAGTTTTTTCTGATAATGGCTATTCGGTATTTTATATGCTTTATTTGTGTATTAAAGTCTTTTTCTATGTCTGGAAAGTTTTCTGCTATTGTGTAAACAAGTTCTTAAGCCTTTGTACTGTCTTCTGATTTTTCATTAATTCCATTTCATTCATCCTCTTTTGCTCATCTAGGAGCTGTTGTGGATCCATTTTTCATGTTCCGTTTTTGTTTGTTTGTTTGTTTGTTTTGGTACCGGGGATTGAACTCAGGTCCTTGTGCTTGTGAAGCAGGCGGGGGCACCACTGAGCTAAATCCCTGACCCCTTCCCTTGTTACTTTTAATGTATCTCTCATTAACTGATCATTCACCTCAACCCTATCCTCTAGATCTGACACTCTGTCTTCACCTTGGTTGTTTCAGCCACCCAGACTTTGGGTTACATTATTCCTTGGATTTCTGTTTGGACCTTTGTTGCAGACTCCAATTCTTTTCTATGCTTAGTATTCATGTTTTGCATATCTTTCTGTAGTTTCATCGGCTGTTTATTAGTGGACTTGGACTTGCTGGTCATTTCTTTCATTATGGTCATTATCTGATTTATATCTTTAAATTCACCAAATACCTTATTGAACTGGTGTTTTTTGTTTGTGTTTTGTGTGGTTTTTTTTGTTTGTTTGGTCTTTTGTTTGGTTTTTGTTTTGGTACTCGGAGATTGAACTCCAGTCCTTGTGCCTGTAAGGCAGGCAGTGGAACCACTGAGCTAAATCCCCAACCCCTTATTGAACAGTTCTAACCTCCATTTATTCCCTTTCAGACCTATCTGCTATGTAGTTTATGATTTCCTCCTCTTCTGTGCCCCTTCAGATTTGGGAGAATTGGCAATGTTCTGAGGCGTATTGTTGCCTTGTCTTTTCATGCTTCTGTGTTTTTGTTTGGTTTTGTGCTAGGGTTTACAAATTATTTGGCCCAGTGCCTCATTCTTCTTGATAGTTCAAGTCACAGTGTTGTTTATGACCCATAGGCAATTCAGATATTAGCATAGAGAGAAAACATTGCCAGGCACTACTGTGTTACCTTGGCTATCACAGTAAATTCAGCAACAACAGTGCCATCAGATTTCAACTGGATTATGACAGACCCTAGGAACCACTCATAAACAGCCCTTAACCAAATCAAAGAGAACTGATTTACATGAAGACAATTAGGCCACCATTATATTGACCTGTAATAGTTAAGACCACTAATTTCTGCAGTGCCAGAGCAAACGTACTTCTTTAGGACTGCCCCCTGTGACAGTTACTCACACCAAATCTGGTCTCCCACAACAGAATACAGGCCCTGTGATCTTCCTAGTTTGAGCCTGGGCCTCCCAGAGAATCCCTGATCAGCTATTGCCCTCTCCAATCCTAACTCCCAAGGCTCTCATTGGGTCTCTGTGGTAAGGTATCACTTCAGTCCTGAAGTAAGACTTTCCCTGGATATTAGTCTCTTTAATCAGGTCACTTGGTTGGTTCTGAAGTCTCTTGCCTTGTGTAGTAACATGGGCTGGGAGCAGGGTGTGCAGTTATGGGTCTTCCTAGCTTGGCCAGTGGATGAGTCCCAGATCCTCCTGATAGTCTTTAATTGAATACTTTTTTTTTTTTTTTTTTTTTTTTTTTTTGAGACAGAGTCTCACTATGTAGTTCAGACTAATCTGGAACTTACTATGTAGCCCACGCTGGTCTCAAACTTACAGTCATCCTCCTGCCTCAGCCTCCCAAGTGCTGGGATTACAGGTGTGCGCCACCATGCCCAGCTAAAATTGAATACATTTTGCTTTAGCTAAAACTCTATTTAGCTTTAATTTTTTTCTTTTTATTTAACCACAGATCAATAAATACTTTTTCACAAATGATATTTCAGAACTTTTGCTTGATACTTGGAACACAGTACTTAGAAGAGTCCCTACATGAATATGTTGAGTAGCAGCTACATATCTCATGTCCTTTATTTTCTCACCAGTTCGATCCTTTGGTACAGAAGACAGACCAACAGATCGTCCAATACCACCTCGAGATGAAGTCTTTGAATACATTATATTCCGTGGGAGTGATATTAAAGACCTCACTGTTTGTGAGCCACCAAAACCACAATGTTCTTTGCCTCAGGACCCAGCTATTGTTCAGGTAACTGACAGTAAATTTGTCTTGCAATGAGGTGTAAACTTTACACACAGCTAGCCCTGGCTGTTTTCTTTCCCAGTTTAGTGTTCATAAAGCTTACCAGTTTAAAGTTACCTAGATACTTAAAATTACCTGCATAATATTCTTATCTAGATTTCTCTCTTCAGGTCATAAATTGGGACTAAATAAGGTAAGCAATAGATGAAAAACTTAACTTATTTTATGATAAAATATCTTAACGTCACAGTGTTGCTATGGCCAACATTGTATTGAAATCTATAAGAAGTGCTCTTAAGGGTCTGAGATTTAGCTCAGTGTCCTCCCAAGTGCAAGGTCCTGAGTTCAATCCCCAGTACCAAAAAAAAAAAAAAAGAAGAAGTGCTCTTAAATGTACAGTCAGGCTGTATATGTGTGTCCTTATAATGCATGTGACTTTGGTACCATAATCTTTCTCTTTTACAAGTGAGGAAATTGAGATGGAGCCACTTTGAATGTATCCAAAGAATAAGGCTCCAGAATCTTAAGATCAGTGCTATTGCACTATGCAGATAATGGTTCATGTTACAATCTAGAATGATAGTAGCTACTCTTAAATAAAATTATTAGTTGGAATGGGGAGATACGTTGAATCACATTATGTATGATTTGCAGTGATAAAAAGCATAAGTAAAAAGATTTTAACAAAGGTAAGTTCTTAAATTTCCTAAATAAAAAACTCCATTGACAGAAAATAGAAATGCATGATGCCTGATCAGTTGCAAAGTGTGAGTTAAAGAGGATATCCATTACACGGAGTCCCCAACTGAACGAGTTCCATTCCAGGAGAACATTTGTAAGTCGGATTCAATCAAAAGTCCTAACACATGAGCCTTAGACACCTCTGACACAAATGTACAATATATGTTACTTTGTACTTCCTAGCAGTCTGCTCTACATCACCATTGCTTTTCCACTTGTTTCTGGACACCCTGGGCTCTGACTGAGCACTGTACTACTGTATACTACCGCACTGTACAGTAAGCACACAGCAGCACAACTATGACAGTATCCAGCAGACGAATGAGCTATTTCCAAGATCTGTTCACATGTAGGAATTAACATGAGGACATGTTGTAATGTGAGGTCCTTTTGTATTTTAAAAAGGGAGGGATAAAGTTAGGTACATTAATGTAGGTCTATAATCCCAGCACTGAGAGAGACTGAGGCAAAAGTTCACAACTCAAATGTTTCTAAGTCAGGGACCAGGGACTTACTATACAATGAATACTTACTTGTTCATTGGAAACATAAAGGCTCTTTGAATTTTGAATATAGCAACAGAAGCCTTTTCACATAGAAATACCTTATGTATATTTTTTGCTTGTTGGTTTTTCATTTTGTTTTTGTGTTTGTTATGCTTGCCTCAAACTCGAGATTCTCGGCCTCCTGAATAGTGGGATTTCAGGTGTGTGCCACCATCCCTGGCTCAAATAATACTTTTACTTGTGAGCATAGCTGATTAAAAGCTAGGCCCCTCCTATGGTTTTCTTTGTGTACTTTTTAAACCTTTTCACCTTGTTATAAATCTGTCAGTTGTACTAAAATGTGCTTGTTGGGTTTTTTTTTTTAAGCACTGTAATAATTTTAAATTGTTTTATATTAACTTTTCTTTTTTATGCGGTAAGTGATAAAATCTTAGTTTTCCACAAAATACCTTTTTTTTTTTTTTTTTTTTTGGTAGTAATACTATGGATTGAACCCAGAGCCTTGTGCATGCTAGACAAGTGCTCTACAACTCAGCTACATCACCGGCCCTTTTGTTTTGTTTTTGTTTTGTTTTGTTTTGTTTGTTTTTTGTTTATTTTTTGTTTTTTGAGACAGGGTCTCACTATGTAGTTAAGACTGACCTGGAACTCACTGTGTAGCCCAGGCTGGTCTCAAACTCACAGAGATCCTCCTGCCTCAGCCTCCCGAGTGCTGGGATTATAGATGTGCGCCACCACACCCGGCTATTTTTTATTTAGAAACAGGGTGTTAACTAAGTTGCCCAGGCTAGATTCAAACTTGTGATTCTTCTGCCTCATACACACACCACCTCCATTCCCCTATTCCCTGCCAAAAGACTGGGACAACAGGCTTTAGTCATCACACCTGGCCTATCCCTCCCTTTTTACTCTGTTCTTTTTGTTGTTGTTGTTTTGTTTTGTGGTACTGGAGATTGAATCCAGGAGTGCTTTACCAGTGAGTTACAGCCCTTGCCCTTTATTGGAGGTAAGTTCGCACTAAGTTTATATTCCCAGATAGGGAGCATAAGATCCCCTTGAGATTCTTCTGTCTCAGTCTCTCTCAGTGCTGGGATTACAGACCTACACTACTGTACCTAACTTTGTCCCTCCCAACAGTTTTTTTGTTTGTTTTTTATTTTATTTTTTTTTTTTGTAACTGGGGTGGGCTAGTCAAACTGGGGTCCTTGTGCTTGTGAGGCAGGCGGTGGTATCACTGAGCTAAATCCCCATCCCCTAAAGTTTTATTTTTGTAGAAGGAAATCTGAAGAAAATCCTGATGAATGTTAATCTCTTAGGTGGAAAAAGAGACATATTCTTAATGGAGATAGTTGGTGGCTACACCAAAGATTGGTGTTGTGTTATCTTATATCTCTTGATAATTTTCTGGGAATTAGTTATTTGCATATATATTAAGTATATTATTTGAATATATATTATTGAAGGAGAAGAACGTAGAGTGCACAAATCAAAATGGTACTGAATTTCTTAAAGGCGTCATAATCTTCAATTTGATTGTTTTATTCATTCAGCAGTATTTGAGTACCTGACATGTCCTTGGTATTAGCAGTAAACATAAGGTACCATATGTGGACTTTATACCAGTACCCTTTAATATATTTTATGTTTCTATCATGAAATACTTTACAGTAAGATAAGCAAAACATGTATGAATTAAAATATATTTGAGGTTTGGGCCAGAAATTTAGCTCAGTGGTTCTGCCACCTACCTCACAAGCGCAAGGACCTGAGTTTGATCCCCTGTAGTACCAAAAACAAAACAAACAAATTATAATATAATATAAATTATAATATTGAGGCTTAATAAATTAAGGTTTATATAAAGTGTTCCTCAGCCTACTGTAACTACATGTAAAAATGTAAATGGTTTAGTGTGGGGTGTGTTTATTTCCTTTTTTTTAATACAGTTTATTTTATCCCATTCTCCCCTGTAAGCCCCATCCCCTCCCTATGTACAAAAGCTTTGTTTCCATTTTTTCTCCTTCTATTTTCAATTTTTTTCCTGTCACTTCCTTCCTCTCTCCCTTCTGGGGCATGTTTATTTCTGCATTTAATAGTGTCCTCAAATGATTGAAAACAAAGGCAAAATCACAAGTTGCTTATTTGTCAGTATCAGACTAAAATCCATTATCACTGAATGTCATTTTTTCTTTAATTTACTTACTGAAGTAAACTTTTCATTTATTCATTTGTTCTTTCCTAAATCCACTATAGAACTCTTAACTCGGAGGAATTTATATTAGGAAAAAGTATTTGTAAATCACATTATGTATAATTGGCAAACACTGAAATCAGAATGTTGTTATACCTACTTTAAGTGATTGTAATTTATTTTGTTTCTAGTAATTAGTCTAATGCTCATTAGTTTTTTTTAAATCTGAATTTCTCTTTATTATACATATGTTTCTTAGAAAAATAACCCTTTGTTTTCTTCTTTCAGTCTTCATTAGGTTCATCTACTTCTTCATTCCAATCAGTGGGAGTGGGTTCCTATGGACCTTTTGGCAGGATGCCGACATACAGCCAGTTCAGTCCAAGTTCGCTGGTTGGGCAACAGTTTAGTGCTGTTGGTGTTGGTAGGTGGTGATCTTTTTTTTTTTTTTAATTTCCTTTTTATCACATAGGTATAGAAACTTACTATAAACTCTTAGCACATAGTCTTAGAAATGTTTGATGTCCCTTTTATTACCTTGTTTTAGGTTGTGAAGAATACATTGCCACACTGGACATGGTGGCACATTTCCTTTGATCCCAGCACTCAGGAGGCAGAAGCAGGAGGATCACCTAGTGTCCCTAGGCCAGACTGAGCTACATAGCGATACACTGTCTGAAAAAACCAAAAAACAAAGAACACATTGAGATGCATACCTACAATCCTAGTGCTCACTTGGGAGGCTGAGAAAGGAGGCTTGCTTCAAGTTTGAGGCCAGCCTAGTAAGACCCTGCCTCAAATAAACAGAAAAGGAATTAACTCATCGTGTTGGCACAAATCAAGCCTTCTTTTATCATTTTTAGTCATTATTCTAATTTTTAAAGGATAATTTAATGAATCAGAATTATACCATTGCTATTTATGGGAGGTTTTTTTCCCATTTAAATTTTTATATGCAAATGCTGTTCAGCTTAAAATGGGCTTACATCCTAATAAATACAAATTGGAAGTGAGGCGCAATGCATTTAATAAACGTAATACCCAACATAGGTTAGTTTGTTCCACCTTAAATGTACTCAGAATAATTACATTAGTTTATAGTTGGACAAAATCATCTAACACAAAATCTGTTTTATAGTAAAGTGTCAGTTAATTTCTTGCACACACAGATGGGCATTTGTAGGTGTCATATAAAAGCACGAAACAAATATCCAGAGTACACTGTAAAGTATGAGTGCACTCCTGTGATTAAATAGCTCACTGGGAGCTGCCCAGCATCACAGGAAGGTATGCCGCTTATGGCTAGCCTAGGGAAAGAAATTCAGAGTACAGTATGTACTGTTTTTATTTGTTTTTTGGGGTACCAGGGATCGAACTCGGGTCCCTGCACTTGTAAGGCAGTCAGTGGAACCACTGAGCTAAATCCCCAGCCCCTAAAATTCAGAGTACAGTATGTACTGAAAGAGTATGTTTTCATACTATCTTCAAGTCAAAAAATAGGTCAAACTGTCATAACTTGGATACCATCTTTATTACTATTACTGCGTAGTTAATAGTTTTATTTGCAGTTTTTTCACTATTTTAATATTCTTTTATAGAGGACTCTCTAAATATAAAAGATCAGCAACCCAACAAAATTGGGCAAGGAACTTAATTCACAGAAAAAGAAATAGAAATGATCCTTCAGCATATTGAAAAAGATGCTTTGAGCCAGGCGTGGTGGCACATGCCTGTAATCCTAGCACCTGGGAGGCCCACTGAGTTCGAGACCAGCCTGGGCTACATAGTGAGTTCCAGGTCAGTCTCAACTACATAGTGAGACTCTGTCTCAAAAAACAAAAAAAATAAAAATAAATAAAAATAAAAAGCCACAATAAGGGCTGGGGATTTGGCTCAGTGGTTTCACTGCTTCACAAGGGCAAGGTCCTGAGTTCGATCTGCCATACCCAAAAAAAAAAGCCACAATATTCTGAAGGGTGCTGTGAGAGGTTATTGTTGGTACTTACTGAGCTGCCTAGAGCATCAGCTTGGCTCGAGTGCATCTCCAGGGTAGTCTCAGTGGCATCCATTATTTAAAAATACTGTGTTGTGTTGTGTTGTGTTTGCACCGTTTTAGAGGAATATGAATAAATAGAATTCATTGAATTAGGAGTTGCTCAAAGAGGTGTTTCTTAAAGACCACATTAATTGAAGGAACTGGAACTGCCTACGTGGGAAATGAGTAGGTTGCAAGGAGCATGATCATAATCCTTGTTGTGTTGTGTTGTTTTTTGAGATTGGGTCTCTCTGTAGTCCAGACTGACCTCAAACTCATACAAGAATGCACCATCACATCCAGTTCATAATCATAATCTTTTTATATTTTTAAAGCAGAAGTATAAACTGCATAGGCTACACTGTTTGAAAGAAGGAAAGTGACAGCAGAGGTTGGTAGATAAGGGGAGGGCCTTAGAACTGAGGTTATTAATTGAAACTTTTATCTTGAGGACAGAAAAGGTCATTAGAGGGTCCTAAGTTCTGTAATGATGTAATTATATTTGTATTTTATAAAAATATATTCTAACTCTTAGATTGGGTTTAGATATTGGGGAACAGGGACTGTTGAATACAAAGAAAGCCTACATAGGTGAAACAAGTAAGACAAAAGCACAGTATATAAAAAATACCCAGGCGTAGTGGGCACACACCTATAACCTCAGCAGCCCAAGGCAGGACCATGAGAAACCCGAGGCCAGCCTGGACTACATGGACCCTATCAAAAAAACAAAAAAACTTTAAAAATGAATTTTTTAAAAGTAGATTGTCCATAAGTACTATAGAAACTTATGAGAAGATTAACACTGCCAAGTATAGAGAGAATGGGTCTCTTTGTAGGGATTTTATTACTTATATTACCCAACATTTTTGTGACTCCTTTAAGCTAAATGCAGTCCCACAGTTCTGTCATCAGGGAAAGCATTAATGCTGGAGTCATTATTATCTTTTGCCTCAGAAGTGATGACAAAATTTTTTTTAGAATATCTGTTTGCTGATTTGGCTATTTGTGAAGATACTTAGAATAATTTGAACTTAGTTTGGTTTAAAATGTACCATTTCTATTACTTTGCTGTCTGATATGTGTCCTTTGTGGCATCCACATAATGACATTACTGTGTGTTATAAAAATTGTTTGCATCCAAGGATGTCACATATTGGCTGCATACTGGCTTTCTCCCAGCATAGCTATACATTTCCCAAACTATTACTTGATACACTTTAATTTCCAGGGTTATTCATGTTTACAAGTTCTATAAGATGGTACAGGCAGACAGTAATAAATTGCTGCACTGTTTTATATAATTGAAGGTGAAAACATTAAAATTTTTTTATCATTAAAAAAACATCTCTTCAAGCTGGAAGCTCCTTGACATCCTTTGGAACAGAAACGTCGAACAGCAGTACCTTATCCCAAAGTAGTGCTGTTGGATCTGCCTTTACACAGGATACAAGATCTATAAAAACACAGTTATCTCAAGGTAAGCAGTTTTTTTTCTTTAGATATTTTTATTCTGAATTTTTATAATGGATTTTGTCTTTCTCAATGTAAGAGCTTTCATAGTTTGTAAATTGCATGTTTGATTTCTGGTGAATTCTTTAAAATTTTTCTTTCAATTGATATATTATTGAATTGACTTCCACTCTTTACACATTTTACAATTCTAAGATCATGAAACCAAACTGGTGAGCATTCCCTAAGTTTGACTTTGGTTTGCAAAGTGGTTATATAACTTGTAATATATCAGACCAGTCCCAGACTTAACTCTGTAAAGGAGCTATCCTGTATAAATTTGAAATGTCATCTGGAAAAATAAACTGTTCCACGACATCCTCCAAGAATGTAGAGTATTCATTCCCAGTATTTACCACCCACAACAGAATCAGCTGTAGTGCTTCTGAAAAATACAGATCTTGATACTACTATGTCAGAATCCTTGGGGCCTGGGGATTTGCATTTTTCTTTTGTTTGCTTGCTTTGTTTTTTTGAGACAGGGTCTCACCATGTAGTTGAGACTAACCTGGAACTCACTAGGTAGCCCATGCTGGTCTCAAACTCACAATGATCCTTCTGTCTCAGCCTCCGAAGTGCTGGGATTACAGGCGTGTGCCACCACACCCAGCTGGGGATTTGCATTTTAATAATCTTTGTAAAGAATCCTGTTTCAAAAAGAATCTGTTTCAGATTTTTAATTCTGTTTTCTATCTGCCAGTCTCATAACCTTGTATAGTCAAAAGTACCTATATCTTCTTTTAACCACCACAAAGTAGGTGTTGTTGGTTTATTGCTTTACATGAATATTTACTTCTTAAAATTTATTTGGTTGGTTATTTTTTGAGACACGGTCTTGCTATGCAATTTAGGCTGGTCTTGAACTTGCTATGTAGCCCATATTGGTCTTGAACCCATGTCAGTCCTCCTGCCTCAGCCTCCCACGTGCTGGGATTACAGGTGTGCACCACCATGCCCAGCAAGTTAGCCATCTTAACTGTAGCCAACATCAAACTTAATACTGAAGCTCCAGAAAAATTCTTATTAATATAAATAGAGATACCTGCTATCACTTCTACTCATTCTTTTTCTGGAATTTTTGGTTCTGTCAGTTACAAATGAAGTAAATTGGCATAAATATTTGAATTACCACTATTTACTAATTTTCTGCTTGGAATTGAGAATTCAGTGTAAAAAATAGTAAAGGACTTAAATTACAGGTAAAATGCAAAGTAAATATACAAAACTCAATAATGATTCTAAAACCTGTCCTGTCCTATGTAATAGAAATAAAAGGCTCACAAAGTAATGACAAACAAGAAATTATGAAGTGCATACGATATATAACAAGCTTCTGTGGAGAAAAATGCAAAATTTTAATAGACCTCATATACTGCAATTAAGGATTGTTCTTAGATAAAAGATTCAGGATCAAGAAGATATTACTTTGCATATTTATTAAATTTATTGTTCTTTTGAGCAGAAAGATTATCTTTAAATGTGGACATAGAATAGGACAATTTGAAAAATGTAAAAGTTTACCTGCTTGATAGTAAAATACACATATGTAAGATAAAAGCAGTACAGTAGTAAATTTAGAGATGAGTGGAACAAAATACAAAGTCAGAAACAGTTCCAAGTTTAAGTAAGAATTTAAGAGCTGGCAGGTGTAGCTGAGTAGTAGACTATTTGCCTAGCATTCATGACGTCCTAGGTTCCATCCCCAGTACACCTGCCCCTAAAAAAAGGTAGAGTGAAGTGTCAGATTTGTTAGTTGTTGTGGCACTTACATGTAACCTCACCTCCAGATGGCTAATGCAACAGGATCAGAAATTCAGTCCCAGCCTAGGCAATTTAACAAGACTCTGTCTCAAAATTTAAAAGGGCCAGGAGATGTGACTTTGTAGGCAGAGACCCTTTGTAGGTAAGGCCCTATTGTTTAATCCCCAGTGTCAGAGGAAAAAAAAGTTTAAAGGAAAGTTAGATATGTATTTACATAAGACTGTTGCAGATGACATCCGAGGAATATGCATTAAAATTTCACTAACTAGGGCCAGGGATTTACCTCAGTGGCACTACACCTGCCTCACAAGCCCAAGGTCCTGAGTTCAATCTTTGGTACCAAAAAAAACGCTATGTTAACTGCAGTTTAGCACCTATTGATCAGTCTTAGGGCCAGTGATTTAGCTCAGTGGTTCTGCCACCTGCTTTGCAAGTGCAAGGTCCTGAGTTCGGTCCCTGGTACCCAAAAAAAAGAAAGAAAGAAAAAGTTTCACAACTAAAAATTCTGAATTTCCCAAAATAAAACACATGGCATTTTCTTTAGCTGTGATAAGATTGTGAAAATAACTCAAGGGGATGTGTTTTTATAAAATAGCTTCTTGTTTTAATTCCTAATACTATGTCCACATCACCTATATTTCCCCACTTATAGCAGAATTGATATCATGATTAGTAGATTATAATAGAAAAAATTTAAATAGACAACAAATGAATTTGGTATTTGATTTGATTACCCCGTCCCATGTATTTCTGTAATAGTTTTTAGTTGCAAGATCTTTTCTCAAAAGACTCAATGAAGTAGTTTTAAAAGCTTCAAAGATTATTTAATGTAGTGTAGTAAAATTATAGCAACAGGCTTTAAAAACACTTAACAGATGAAAAAGGTAGGTGTGGTGACAGCTGCCTATTGTCCTAGCTACTCAGAATGTTGCTTGAGCCCAGAAGTCAGGGCTAGCCACCTGGGCGACATAGACCCTATCTCAAATAAGTAAATAAATAAAAATAATACATACATATGCATGTATAAAAGTGATTGTTTTCTTATAAACAAATAGCGTAAATCATCATCATTTCTCCTTATAATTTTTGATGGAAGTTATAGTGTTTCTATTACTGATAACTTAATTTTTAAATATTTTAATGGTAATTTAAATGCTTTGGCTAAAGTGTCCTAGCCATTAATGCCTATAAGTAATGATATGTGTTTGTAATTGCATACTTTAGATGAAGTATAAACATATAAACTTAGGGAGTATTACTAATTATCCCTGAAGTATCTGGGTGCACAGTAATCAGTATGTTATCAGCACTCACCAATTTACTGGTTTGAAGCCTGTGTGAATATGCACACACAGAAATATGTGGGAATATGTCTGCATAAAATGAGCATAATATTTAAGCAGAGCATTGTATTCTGTTACATTATTACGAGTGCTTCCTGGGCAGAGATTTACAGCCGTATTGTAGGGGCAGAAAAAACCATGATGAAATACTATATTATATTATTCAATTCAAACAGTGTGGTAACGCTCTGGCCTCACAAAAGGAAAAATAGAAGCTTAAGTACAGTGAAAAAAATGGAAACAAAATCTTTGTAAATAGGGAGGGGTGAAGAGATTGAAGGGAGGGCAGGGGAAGGGGGAAAAATAAGAATCAAGATATATTATGTAAAGGTACAAATCTCCAATGATGAATGTCAAGACATACCTAAAATGTACCAATGAAATTATTTTTTTTTAAATTGTTAACGTTCAAACCCCATATTAACCTATTACTTGCCAAGACATCCATACAATGGCAAGGAGTGAATATGGCTACTGTATAAGTATCTGAAGGGTTTTATTTGTTATTGGCCTTTTAGTTTTGATGTGTAATTACCCCAAAGATATTTAAAAACCACCTACCTTAGTTTCTTGTGCTATTACTTTCTTGTAATAGAACTTTGTTTGGAGCAGTATTGCTTAATGACCAGTCAACTAAGAATAATCAGATTTGAACTTTAGACTTATAAGTAGATTGACTCATTTTTGCTAAAGCTTTGAATTATTAGAAATAAAACTACGCTTTTTTTTTTTTTTAAGGGGCTAGATTATTTTTAAATTCCCGGTTAGAATAGTTTTCTTATCTTTTGGTTACATTTTAGGTCGTTCAAGCCCTCAGTTAGACCCTTTGAGAAAAAGTCCGACCATGGAGCAAGCAGTACAGACCGCCTCGGCCCACTTACCTGCTCCAGCACCTGTTGGGAGAAGGAGCCCTGTATCAAGCAGGCCTTTGCCATCCACCAGCCAAAAAGCAATAGAGAATCAAGAGCACAGGCGAGGTAGAACTTGAGCTATTTACTATTCCTTAATTAACTGATCAACATTTTCTGCTCATCTTATAAAGAGGATTTTGCTTTATATGAATAAGTCTAGGTTTAAACTGAATTTAATAGAATGTTCAAGCTTTCATATTTGACTTGAAGAGATGGGGGGTTGGTTTTGGGAATTGCGCCGGTTTTGTTTTGTGGGATTTTTTTCTTCCCATTCCTAACTTTAAAAATGTTTTTGGTTTTGCATCCTGAGTGTATTTGTCACTTTGTATGTCTCCTTCTATAGTTGAAGTACACAAAGTTTCAAGGCCAGAAAATGAGCAACTCAGAAATGATAGCAAGAGACAAATAGGTAAGTCACTTGAATCTGAAAGTCATATTCTTTGCTTCTCAATAGAGAGCATTTTAAATGTGTAATACATAGAGGCCAGGGATTTAGCTCAGTGGTTTCACCTGCCTTGTAAGCACAAGGTCCCGAGTTTGATCCCCAGTACCAAAAAAAAAAAAAAGTGTAATACATGAGGACTAAAAACTTGAAAGGTAGGGCTACAAGTGTAATCCCAGCACTGTGGGCGGCTGAGGCAGAAGGATGGCAGATTGGAGCCCAGCCCAGGCAATTTAGGTACGCTGTCTCAAAATAAAAAGTGAAAAAGAGCTGGTGATGTAGCTTAGTGCTAATGCTCTGGGTTCCATCCCTGCTACCACAAAAACAACAAAACAAAAATACTAGTACTAGGGGTTTAGCTCAGTGGTAGAGTGTTCTGTTGTGTATGAGGCACCAGGTTCAATCCCTAGCACTGCAAAAACAAAAACAAACAAAAAAAACTGATGACATCTGAGTAAGGTGTGTAGTTCATTTGATTAATTCCTTGGTTTTGATAGTGTGCATTAGTTATATAGTATCTTACCATTGGGAAGCTGGGTAATGGGCTCAAATTTTTTTAACTTTTTTACAACTCATTATTTTCTTTGGGGGGAGTTTGAGTTTTTTGTTTGTTTTGTTTTTTGAGACAGGGTCTTGCTCTGTGATTCAGGCTGGCCTTGGACTCACTATGTAGTCCAGGCTGGCCTCGAAATCATGGCAGTCCTCTGACCTCAGCCTCCCAAAATGCTGAGATTACAGGTGTGCACCACCACACCTGGACAATAAAGGTTTTTTGGTGTTTGGCTGTGTGTCAGTGCATGTGTACATGTTGTCCTGGAGATTGAATCCAGAGCCTTTGGATTTAGCCTCAATTCCAGCCCTTGGTTTTTTGCTTTTTGGTTGTTTGTTGTTTGTTGTTGTTTGGTACTGGAGATCAAACTTGGGGTCTTGCAGTTGTGAGGTGGCACCAGTGAGCTTAAACCCTTGGGGTTTTTTTGTTTGTTTTTGTTTTGTGGTTGTTTGTTTTGTTTTGTTTTGTTCTTTGAGAGAGGGTCTCACTATGTAGTTGAGACTGACCTGGAACTCACTTTGTAGCCCAGGCTGGTCTTGAATTTGGGTCTCACTATGTAGTTGAGACTGACCTGGAACTCACTTTGTAGCCCAGGCTGGTCTTGAATTTACAGTGATCTTCCTGCCTCAGCCTCCCCAGTGCTGGGATTACAGGCATGCGCCACCACACCCAGATTTTTTTTTTATAAGTTTTTATATGTGCTGTGGCATGCAGAGTTTTTGCTTGATTTATATTTTACTTTTTTATTTTGAAAAAGAGCTCTTTCCTCAAAATAATTGCCATAATTTTATCATGTAAATTTTTAAATAATAAATAAAAATATCTTTCATTGCCCTTTAAAACTCACTGCCCTACCCTATCACCAAACTTCTTTAACTAAATATTCTTGCAGGTTTTTTTCTTAAGATATTACAGACATAAACATCTCTACTCAGAACTTTGGTTTGATTTGGTTTTGAGACAGAATCTTGCTTCATAGTTCAGGCTGGCCTGAAACTATGTAACCCAGGCTAGTCTCCAATTGTTGATCCCCCTGCTTCAGCCTCTCAAATGCTGGAATTTACAGGCATGTGCTGCCTACCTGGCCTCTTGGTGTTTTGCTGCACCTAGGGATGGAACCCAGACCTTCACATTTGCTAGGCAAATATTTTACCTCTAAGTGCTATAACCCCAGCTCCAGAATTTTATTTTTTTAAATATAAAATATCTTTATTTAAAATTTCTGGAAAATGAGTTACATGTAATTGGTGTACAGTATAATGGGAAAATCTCGAATTGCTAGACATACGGACTGAGTACAAGAAGTGAACCTGTAGTGGGCTCTGAGCATCTTGCCAGACTTCTATTTCTTCCCACGTGAAAAACTCACCTCTGATACTTACATGTCCAAATGTAGTATCATGTACTTTAGATCCTTTTTACACATTGTACCACATACATTTAAAAAATTAACATGCTGACAGGTGCTCCTTTTGGTACAAATTTTGGGAAACTAGGTTAATGCAATTAAAATACTATGAAGTGTTGTGTCAGGGCTTTGGCTGAGTGGCATCTTCCCACCTCGCAAGTGCAAGATTCTGAGTTCCATCCGTGATACCAGAAAAAAATATTAGGTGCTTATATTCTCAACAGCTGTGTGGTTTTGCTCCCCCAAAACTGGATTAATCTGCTTAAATATTTACTGTTATACAGAGACATCAAATCTCAAGGCATCACTTTACTCACCCACCTGTGGGACTCCTTGTTCAGAGGTACTCCTGGGTAGTGGGAACATGAGTTCCCTCCTGACAATTTCTTTATCTCTAACACAGGAGAAAAATACCTACCACAGAGTCAGTAAGGTAAATGCAAGGGAAACATTGCCCTGTCACCAGCAGCACCGCCTTGCTGCTCTAACTCCTGTAGCTGAGTATGAACACATTTCAGACTCACTCGCCTCGTGTTCAAATCTGTCATTAAAATGCTTTGTACAGTACCATAAAAATGTTCAAATCCTCAGAAATTTTCCTAATAGTTGATCTCTGGTTTGATCAAATCATTTTGTTTACTCTTTCAATATTTTCTCAGGTTTTTGATGTTGAAGGACATCCAGATCTTGCCTTGTTAACAGATTCACAACCCTTACAAAATTGTTCAAACCACTTGTAAACAGTCTTTCTGGTCACTGAGGCATTGCTATACACTAATTTTAACATTTCAAGTTTCTTCAGCAGTTTTTTGCAGTTTGAAACAATATTTCATGTTAACACATTGCTTATGATCCATTGTTTATGAGACTTTAAAAACACTCCTTCCTCTCAACCATGGCTCAGACTGCCCCAAGCAAGTTGAAAGGTGTCACACACTGTTACTAAGGTTCAGTATGCTCTTCTATTGAAGATCCCTGCCTTTTTGTTGGATGGCCAAATGCCATACCACAACATTCACTGTTTTTGTTTGTTTGTTTACCACACCAGGTACACTTAAGAATGTCTCTCCTCCCTAGAGGCACTTTCCCATTTTAATTATAGTGACAACCGGTGTCAGCTGAAATACCAGCACTAGTGCACCCCAGCTTCACAGGCTTGTACAGGCATTGTTCATGCTGCACTTGGAACTCCAAGCTGCTGATCTCCACATATGCACCAGACAAACTTTGGGGGCCCAAGATCAGCCCTGGTCCAGGTTCTTGCACCCACTGGCGAGGCCCGCCAGGAACCTGCTAAAATGTAGAAGTGGACACTCCCATCAACCTCCCAGTACAAAAAAAAAAAAAAAAAAAAAAAAGCCAGAATTTTATTTTTTTAAGACATGTCTCTGCTCCCTGGCGTACAGACAAGTCTCTTGGTAGTAAAGTTGAATATTTTAAACCCTGGTTATCTAAATTTAAATGTCTGGATATGCTTCTGTGGGCTTTTCTGGCTTGTTTTCTAAAACCCAGGAAGTTTGCCAAACCTCGGCAAATGGTGAACACAAACTTGTCTCTTTCCTTGTAGTCTCTTCTAATCTTTGTTGGCACAGTTATAATCATTAAATTCATACTGTTTTATGCTCTGCATTTTTTGCAGTTAACTTTTTTTTTCTTTCTTTCTTTCTTTCTTTCTTTCTTTTTTGAGACAGGGTCCCACTATGTAGTTGAGACTGCCCTGGAATTCACTGTGTAGCCCAGGCTGGTTTCAAACTTGCAGCCTGCCTCAGCCTCCCAAGTACTGGGATTACAAGCATGCCACGCCCGGCTTTTTCTTTTTAGAGATAGGGTCTTGCTATGTAGCTCAGGCTGGCCTTGAAAGCAATCCTGCCTCAGCCTCCCTAGTGCTAGGATTACAGGCGTGAGCCACCACAGCAGCTTTTTCACTTAATTTACATCAAATTCTATTTCATTTCTTATTTTTTTCTTTTCAATCTTCTTATGTTGGATATTTATGTTCCCCAGTTTTTGTTGTAAATTATCTTTTTTTTTTGGTACCGGGGATCAAACTAGGGTCCTTACGCTTGTAAGGCAGGCAGTGGAACCGCTGAGCTAAATCCCCAGCCATAACTTATCCTATTTTTGTATTTACCATATCTTATGTGACTGACTAAGATCCTGTTACTCTGTTTTGTAGAGAGACTGCATAAGTATGGGAGGGTTTGAGTATTGTAGAGTCAGAGGGAAAGTACAGAAGAAGTGTTTGGGACCAATGAGGGCTGGCCCTTCTTGTCTGTTTTTTGGAAATAACATCTCCAACCTTTGAATTTGTGCTCATAAACATTCATGTATTATTCTTATTGTAAATCTTGTTTCCTGTTATCCTTCCCATGAAAGGGTTTAAGTTTGAGAACCCACAATGTTCGTAGCACTTTGTAGGTTTGGAGAGTACAATAGTAAGGAGAACAAAGCCTTTGCTCTTGAGGAGCATATGTTAATCTGTGTAAAGGCTCCAAACTTGTTTGGTTGTATATTCTATTAAGAGTACATATATAAGTCTCGAACTCACAAATATAAATGTTTATCTTTTTATGTGTGCTACTTCATATATTACATTTTAATAGTTAATTCTCATATAAAAATACAAATACAGTAATGTATAGAAACTGTTAAGCATCTGTTACTGGCCATTTAGTATAACAACTACCATAACAACTTATGCCCTAAGTCAGCCTTTACATACTGAAAGCCTTTTGTATAAATTCTTTAATACATAGTTCCAGGTGCTCCTTCAACACCAAGGAGAGGACGAGGAGGTCATCGAGGTGGCCGGGGAAGGTTTGGAATTCGAAGAGATGGTCCAATGAAATTTGAGAAAGACTTTGACTTCGAAAGTGCAAATGCACAATTTAACAAAGAGGAGATTGACAGAGAATTTCATAATAAGCTTAAATTAAAAGGTAAGCTTTAATTTTTCTTAGAAAAATCTCATTTATCTATGAACGAAGGATGCTTTCTGGGTTGCGTATTTAATTTTATTTAATACAAATCTTGACTTTTATGGTGTTTGTTTTTCTTTAGAAGATAAACTTGAGAAACAAGAGAAACCTGTAAATGGTGAAGATAAGGGAGACTCTGGAGTTGATACCCAAAACAGTGAAGGAAATGCTGATGAAGAAGACCCACTTGGACCCAATTGCTATTATGACAAAACTAAATCCTTCTTTGATAATATTTCTTGTGATGATAATAGGTACTGCCTTTTAAGCTGGGTTTGTTTGTTTGTTTGTTTTTGTTTTGGTACCAGGGATCAAACTCAGGAGCTTGCACTTGTTGTGAAGCAGGAGCAGTGCCACTGAGCTAAGTCCCCAGCCCTAAGCTGTTCTTATGCTCTTAGAATATGAAGTATAAAACAGTTATTTCATATAAATTCACAAGGTTTAAAGAATATTTAGAGCAGGGCGTGGTGGCACACATCCGTAATCCCAGCACTTAGGAGACTGAGGCAGGATTGCTGTGAGTTGGAGACCAGCCTATACTACATAGTGAATTCAAGAAAAGTCTGAACTACCTACCAAGACCCTGTCTCAAAAAAAAAATTAAAAATAAAAAAAAAATAAAATAGCTAGTGACCACAGTAGGTTTTTTAATACTTTATTTTACAAAAAAAAAAAAAAGCAAAAAAAAAAAACTGCAGGTGTGGTGGTGCAGGCCTGTACTCTCAGCACTTGAGGCCAAGGCAGGACGATCACTGAGAGTTTGAGGCCAGCCTGGGCTATTTAGTGAGTTCAAGGTTAGCCTGAACTACGTAGCAAGAACTTGTCTCAAAACAACAACAAAAATACCATATAATTTTATTAGAGTTGCAGTCACATTTGGCTATTTATAAGACTTTCTCCTTTATATCTTTATACTGTAGTTCATTTGAAGCCAAGACCAAAAAAGGTAACATTTCTTTGAAGTTTATTGATACAATAAAACTGATGTATTGTAATAAATATGGGTCCAGAAAATTGTCGGTGGTTGTTCTGGTGCCACCTAGTGGCAGTTGTTTGCTTCAGTTTAAATGTGGAGAGGGACAATACTGCTGCGTCCTGCTCTTAAGGGGACGTTACCAAGGCTAGGTGGCAGCCGCAGTTCACACACTTGCTCAGTTCACTGGCATCAGTTCCAGGATTGGTCCAGGACCATAATAGAAACTCAGGGACCTACCCTCCATCTCCTAGCTTCTCTAAGACTGTTTTTCTGCTTGGCTTTACCTTTTCTACTGGGGCTTTACAAATTTCATTATATGTGGACTGGGGATATAGCTCAGTGGCACCACACCTGCCTGGCAAACATAAGGTTCTGAGTTGAATCCCTGGTGTGTGTGTGGGGGTCATTATATCTGAATTAATTACCATTATGTTGGAGCTTTTACTATTTATTGTATGCTTTGTTTTATTGACTATATTTGCAAGAAACTGATGTTAGTTATATTTCACCTGAAGTGTAGCAGACTTGTGGGAACATAACTAAACATATTCTATGAACAGATAAGATGGCTTTTTAAGTTTTTGTTTTTTAATTGAGTTTTTTTAGGGGCAGAGTTGGTTGGTTTTGTTTTTTCCCATTGCAGTGCTCTGTGTTGAATCCAGGGAGTGTATATTCTCCTCTCTTTTTTTATATTATTATTTTGAGACAGGACCTCACTAAGTTGCTCAGGCTGGACTTGAACTTGAGATCCTTCCTCCTCAGCCACCCAAGTAGCTTGGATGTTTATTTTAAATTGATCTTTAGGTATTAGCCTTAATTTAGGAACTGTGCTACTTATTTTTGCTGAAAAAATTCTTCTAAACAGGATATGCTAAAGGTGATCTGCTTTTATAATAGAGAACGGAGACCAACCTGGGCTGAAGAAAGGCGATTAAATGCTGAAACTTTTGGAATTCCACTTCGTCCAAACCGTGGCCGTGGAGGGTACAGAGGAGGCAGAGGAGGTCTTGGTTTCCGCGGTGGAAGAGGACGTGGTGGTGGCAGAGGTGGAACCTTTACTACTCCTCGGGGATTTCGTGGTGGATTCAGAGGAGGTCGTGGAGGAAGAGAGTTTGCAGATTTTGAATATAGGGTAAGTCTTTTATGCTTTGGCATTGACATTCAGTTTTATGAAACTAGTATGTTTTTATTTTGTGTGAATTATTTTGAGAGCATTAAAATAACTTCGTTAAAATTTTCCATGGAAAATATACCTAATTGCAATGTTTCTAGAATTTTTTATTTTTAGGGTTTTGTTTTTGGTTTTGGTCTTGCTCTGTAGTTGAGGCAGGCCTTGAACTTGAGGCAGTCCTTCTGCCTCAGCCTCCCAAGTTCTGGGATTACAGGCATGCACCACCACTCCTGGCAATGTTTCTATAATTTTAAGGATGGTGACTTCTTGGCTAAAGAGTCCGAAAACTTTTTGTATCTGTTCTTTGTTCTTTTAAACTTGAAGTAAGAGGTGGAGATGTGATTTTATTTTTTCCCCCCATTATTGGGGATTGAACCCAGAGCTTTCACATGGAGCTATAGCTATAACCCTTTTTAATTTTTATTTCGAGACAGGATCTTACTAATTTGTCCAGACTGGCCTTGAACTTGCCATCCTCCTGTCTCAGTCTTCCAAATAGTTGGGATTATGGGCATGTCCCATTGCACTCAGCCAAAAATGTAATGCTCTCTTTTCTCTTTGTCTTGTAGTGCCATAGTTTTAGATTTTATGGACTGATTGGCGGGGGGAGTCCCCCCCCCCACACACTTGTGAAGAGTCTGAGTTAGGGTCATTTCTTCTTGAAAAGAATGGTGTGGTTTTGGGGTTTTTTTTGCGGGGGTGGCTTTCTTCTCCTCCTGCTCCTCCTCCCTCCTCCGTTCTCTCTCCTCCTCCCTCCTCCTTCTTCTCCTTCCTCCTCCTCTTCCTCCTCTTCCTCTTCTAGACAGGGTCTCTTTATGCAGTTCAGGCTGACCTTGAACTCATTGTGCAGCCCTGGCTGCCCTTGAACTCAGAGATCCTCCTGCCTCAGTGTCCTGAGTGCTAGGATTACAGGCATGCACCACCACGCATGGCCAGGGGATTTTTTTGTAGAAGGCATAGGAAGGATCACTAAAAACATAGAGAAAGGGAACTATGTCACCTTTATTTTATATTGCAAAGTTTTTATACTTCTCACATCAGAAGAATATAGAAATCACATATTCCCAGAATGTAAAACAAGCCTTTACACCCCCTACCCCATACCAGGGATTGAACTCTGACCTTGCACTTGACAGGCAGCGGCTGGTACTACTGAGCTAAATCCCCAGCCCATAAGTCTTTACGTTTTAAGAGCAGTTAATATTTAGGGCCATGCATGGTGGTCACACGCCTATAATCCAAGCACTTGGGAGACTCTAGCAGGAAGATCACCACAAGCTCAAAGCCAGCTTGGGCTGCAAAGTGAGTTTAAAGCCAGTTTAAACTGTATAGCAAGACCCTGTCTCCCCACAAAAAACCAAACAAACAAAAACATTTAGTAATAGGACATTAAGGATCAAAATCCCCTTAAGAGGGGATAGCTAGAAGCAGAAAAACCTGCTGTCAGGAATTTCACCTGGTAGGAGAACAGTATTAGTGCCTTCTGGACCTGGTCCATTAGTTTTGATGCTTTTAGTATTGTTCCATGACAGCCAAGGCTTAAAAGTTAGCTTCAGATCATTACGCTTGATGGCCTGATACTTCTAACTTGCCATATTAGCTCAGTGAATCTGTCTTAGAAACTAGAGTGGCTTCTGCTTGTCGCTGTTTTTGTTTTTGAGGTTGCCATTGACCTCCTGAATGTGGAATTCAGTAGCTTTTCCACAAATATTTGCCTTTCACTCTGATCACCCACTCATCTCAGTGTCATTTTAATGTTTTTTGTTTTTTGGTGCTGGGGACTGAAGTCAGGATCTTGAGCTTGTGTGGCAGGCACAGTGCCACTGAGCTAAATCCCCAGCCCTATTCTTACTATTTTTAACCTTTTATTTAAGGCAGTGTAAAACATGCATTCCTCAACACAAACAAATACAAGCTGCTGCTTCATGATCTGCCTGCTTTTTCCGGGACAGAAGTGTGGTGTGGGCTCTTGTCGTTGTTACCAGTTGGACTGACCTTTCTTTGTGTGTGTGTGTGTGTGTGTGTGTGTGTGTGTGTGTGTGTGTGTGTGTGTGTGTTTGTTTTTTTTGAGAGAGGCTCTCTCTATGGGTGAGACAGTGTTTTGAGACAGGGTCTCACTATGTAGTTGAGACTGACCTGGAAGTCACTATGTAGCCCAGGCTGATCTCAACTCACTGCCATCCTCCTGCTTCAGCCTCCCCAGTGCTGGGATTACAGGCGTGCACCACCACGCCCTGCTAGACCTTTCTTTCGTTCACTGTGCTAAAGATAAGATACATGGACCTTCTTGCTCTTGCTTAGTGCCATGACTGCTCCTTTTTTTTTTTTTTTTGAGATAAGCTCTTGCTATGTAATTCAGACTAGCCTTGAACTCATGGCAGTCCTCCATCCTCAGCCTCCCAAGCGCTGGGTTTACAGGTATGTGCCGCCACACCTGGAGATCTCAGGCCCTTTTTAACCATTTCAGTTTGCTTTTCTTGTGAGCATGTGTTCCTTTGTATATAATTACATGTGTGTTCACTTGCTCAAGTACTCTCATTCTCCACTCTGCCCCTCTCTTTGGGATGGGGCAGATTTTGAGACAGGGGCTTAACTATGTAGTTGAGACTGGCCTTATAGTGATGATCTTCCTGCTTCAGCTTTCCAAGTCCTGAGGTTACTGCATGTACCACCGCCTGGTTTTCCCTTTCCCCTTTTGTGATCTCTTATATTCATAGCTTCTAATTGGTTTTTCAGAGCTTGGACCTTGTGTGTTTCTGCCCTATGTTCCTGGCTTTACTTGCTTTGTGTCTGCTGTCAACCTACCTTAGACTGACCTTACCATTTTCCCGCTCTTCAGTCATATCTAAACTTTGCCTTCTCACAGTATTCTGTGTTGCCTAGTGGTATACTTCTTAAGCCTTGGAGGTATAAATGATCATGATCCATCTCTACATCACTACATTCATTCCTTTAGATGTCCTTCCAGCTACAATGATAAACCTATAGGTCTTCAAAACTACATTCTCTGTTTACTCCACTTCATGTATACCAGTTATTGCTTAAAGACCTTAGGATAATTTCTTGAAGAATTATAGTAATAGTTGCTAGGGTAATCTCATTAGAGTTACTAAGCCCACGAGACTGTCAGCTTTGACATTTATGGAAAGATAATTGCATGCACAGTTTAATCTAAAATACACTTTTAACTGGACTGGGATTTAGCTCAGTGGCACCATGCCTGCCTCGCAAGCGCAAGGTCCTGAGTTTGATCCCCTGTATCACAATTAGTCAATCAGTAATACTTTTAAACTTCTAAAGATCATTAAATTCTCAGAGTTAGAAAACATCTGAGAGGTCTGACCTTGTGGGGCTGGAAGTGTATACCCTTCCCTAGGCCACCCCCCCCAAGAGTGCTCTAATTATTAAACTGTCACAGACACACACTTTGAATGGAGATCTCTTTCTTTTTGAGACAAGGTCTTGCTTTGTGGTTCAGGTGAGGCAATCCTGCCTCAGCCCTCCTGAGTGATGGGATTACAAGCATGTACCATCACATCTGGCATCTTTATTTTTAACCTTTTGGTTAAAATACCCCTTATAAATATATAGAATATGTATACTTTGTGATATTTTTCAGGTATTTGTAAATATAGCTGCCAAGTTTTCTTTTATATGGCTGGACTATTATGTCCCTTTCTCTGAACATCAAACCTTTGTTGACTTAGCACTGTGTGCATGCTACATGCACTAATTAATACATACCTTTTTGAGAGTCATTTTGAGCCTTTTTGTTAAAACTTATCATATATATTGCAGAATTCAAATGCGTTGTGGAGGTTAGCTGTAAGAGTCTTTATTCCCTGTATGTCTGATAGATAAGACCAAACTCTCCTTAAGTATTTTAAGGAAGACTCAGAGAACCCTGAAGCATTGTCCTGATGGTGAGAAGGCTCTCCTGTTACTTTGGACTTACTGTGTGAAAAGCACTTGATTATGTCCAGCTTTGTTTCACATTACCTCTTAGTCTACCTGATTAAAGCAAGTTAACTCACAGTCGTCTCTTAATACACTGCTTGATTCCCCTCTCCCTCTCCCCCTCCCCTCCCCCCTCCTGCTCTCTCTGCTGAGGATTAAACCTAGAGCTTCATTCACAATAAGCACATACTTTACCACTGAACTACACTACCAGGCTGTTTTGTTATTCCTTTGTTTTCT